TTAGTCAAGTTTTGTTAAATTCTTAAATTGTGTACCTCCATTCTTGTTGTTACATGCTTTATTTTTAAACTCTCATTAGGTCCTATGATGTTTTACTGGTCCTGTAATTATTTATATTGTAATGCATACAGTTTTTACCTCTGTCTATTTTAAAAATGTTTTTAATGTAAACCTGCCCACAATTCAGCCTTCGGGCTGCGTCGGGAGAGTAAAATAAACCATTTCATAATAATAATAATGTGTTTGTTAACATGCACGTTTTTTTTTTTTTTTTAAAACTCTCTTAAATAACACACACAACCGAGTCGCGTCCCTAACAGCACATAACAATGTCAAATTATGCAAGCTTATAATGTAAGTGCATCATCCTTGAAATATAATGCACACTTTGAATGTGAATGGTGGCATTTCATAAAACACTTAAGGCAAGTGTATGCCTGCACATAATTAACGTTCCCCACGGCACAGTGTCCAATATAATGCACTAATCCATCTATCCAATGTGGATCCTTTCAAGGAAATTACATGTACATACATGTAGAGCCCTTAGGCCATACATGTACATGTAAGTACATGGCCAAGTTGAATCTTTCAGCACAAAAATGAGTATTTAAATGAATATTTAATGAATATTAAAAACATCTCAATTATAACTGTATGCATCAGCCACACAAAAAAACCCTCCCTGAGGGGTCTGCAAAATCGTATTGAAATTGGAGGATTCAGGACTGTTTAGGGTTTAAGAGCAATTAGCCTTAAACAAAACTGAAGTGAACTGACTAAATTTTATTTTCTGGTCATAAAGTAAAAAGAATCCTGAATATGGATTAATGTTTCCATCTTCAGTTTTAAGGGTATTTTTAAAAAATTTATACATGTACTTGTATAGTACATGTCATTTCTATTTTTTAATATTTTAAATTAAGGGTCACCAAGTATGTGTATAATTATCTCTGTAGGTATACTTTGTCAAGCAGCAGCAGGCACATGCATCATGCTTTCCCATGCTCATCTAGCGCATGCAGGGGTGCTAACACTAACCTGTCTCTAAAAGCGGTGAAATTGTGAAGGCAGGATACACGCAAGGGATGCTGGAAAGGACTTTCACCAATGATTGAGCGTGCGAAGCCCATACGGAGAGTGTGATATAACAAGGCTCTTAAGAGCGGCAGCCAAAGTCCTTTAGTAATTCAGAAAAACGCTTTGGATGGCTGATCGAATTTGGAAGGCTTAACACAGGAACACAAAGTCATGTTTAGCTGTCAGGGGTATTAAACAAAAGCACTTCCTCAAGGCTCTAAGAAAATGTAATGCACGTAAGGCCATTTTATATTCATGCACAGAAGTACATGTAAAGTCTCTGCTAGAAATCCAACGCTGAAATATATTTGGCTTTACATAAAACACACCTTCATTAGAAAACAAAGCTAATATTTCCAGCCAATCTAGATTTGCTTTCAGAAGTGTAATTCTGTAAGGGGGGGGGGGGGGGGGGAGGGGGATATCTGGCCGTGAATGCCGCATGTACATTGTATATCTATTCTTCGTGGGGACACACTTACATTACATGATTGCAAGTGGCCAACTGGCCATCATGGGCTTTGTATTACATTTGACCTCCCACTTCGACAAACATATGTGTGCCTATCTGCTCCATTCAGCAGCCACTAGAGCTGCGATAAGGTGCGCAAACAATGGAGGTTTAAAGTGCAACAAAGTATTCATTCTTGTAATGAACCATCCACATCTCACTGGATATGTGCATGTACCTTAGAGTATAAGTAGAAACCGTAGCAGCCCTAAGGAACTGATATTTGGACTTTTTTTAAATTCTCCCCCCCCCCCGCACCCCTGATATTGCAGAAACTTTACAATATTTGGATTGTAACTGCATGTTGTTCAACCAAACTGATCAACATGACCCAGAACCTCCACATAAGGATGCCACACCTTGAGTGAGCTCAAAAATAGGAATTATTTAATAAAAACTACCCAGAACTGTTCATATTTATTTGCTGATACGCCGCTGTCTCTGAAAAATACATTCACTTTTTTTCAAAAACAATAACTCACTGCACAAATAACAGAATCACCTGTTGGAACACAACAGTTCCTTTAAACCTAGCACAAGTTGAAGTACTGCCAATTATTTGCAGTGCTTATCAGCAGGATTCTATTGTCCTGCATTGACTGAACCAATGAACCTTGCCCCGGTAACCCTAGGTCACCCCTAGGTCACCCCATAACCCAGGGTTCCTTCTTACTGCGCTCTAATTGTGTACATCCTAGTACTAATAAGCTGAGGTCAAGGGTCAGGGTTTTTAACTCAGCACAACCCATGCACGCTGTGATTAGTCTCTGCAACTACATACATGTACTACTGGTACTTAATACATGTACATGGAAAATAACAAAATGTACTCAATTATGCTCAACATGTGCAGATTGTTTGAACAGCAATACATTTTTATGGGTGCCCAGTAAAGGATGAAATTGCAGGCATGTCTTGTTTTGTATCAGAGGATTTCTGTGCTACATGTACCGGTATGTGCGGTAGTAAAATGGAGAAAGTATGCATGTCACATGTGTGGTCCACTGAAATTGATTTATATTGCCTCTCAGTTCAGAAGGTGTTACTGCACATAAAATGCTAGCTAGCAAATAACACCTTGAAAATGGGTACAGTAGCATGAGTGGTAAACTGACATGATACTTTTTTCTTTTTTAAATACATCAACCAAGCCCTTACATATCCATAGACATACAACATGTACATGTTTGTATGTAAGATTCACGTACCCATCATGTTCCACAAGTAGTGTATGTGCTGTGACTTCACATTTCTATTAATTGGGTCACTTTTCTAGGTGCACATGTAAATGAGTCAACTACGACCAACTTCTCAATCCATGCATCCCCAAAAAGGCCAGTCTATGACTAAGCTACATGTACACCATTGTGGTAGCATAAAGCCTGGTTCATACTTCACGCGAAAACAAGTGCGAAGCGAAATTCATGTCGTCAACAATGGTGGACGCGCTTCAAACGTATTGTTGACGTCACGCATTTCGCTTCGCTTACACTTACTCGTGAAGTATGAACCGGGCTTAAAACTGCATGACTGAACAGAAAGAAGACGGGTTCTCAAACCATTACAAAGCCCCACAAACCCGATACACAGAATAATAACAAATTTACAATAACCTTTTCTTTTCCGAGATATGACAACATTCATAAACAGTCCACGAGTTTCTTTGAGGATGTTGCGCTTCATACTCAGTCAATACCATGTCTATATGACTCTGCAACACAGGGGTCCCCCTCCCTTCTCAGCCACCCCCCCCCCCTTCACACAGCAACAGACTCATTTGAGCCACTTCCTTGCTCCTTATTTCAGGCAACCCATGACCTCATCGGCAGGGGACGTTACAAATTGCATCAACCTCCCCTGCTTTGTGTAGTCCTCAGGCTAATTATGGCAAGATCGGACGATTGAATCATTTCCTGACAAGCAGCCTGGCAGGAACAGGGTGATTCCCAGTCATATGCTACTCTTCCCATAGCCCGAAGGAGGGAGGGGGGCATAGAGGGAAAATTAGTTACTTTCACTATTTTTTTAAAGCATTTCTAGTTACTTTGAAATGATTTCCAAACAATTTTTGAGCCTTTAAATAAAAATAAAGTATTGTGACACCTCTTCCCTTCGCCAAATTACAAATTCAGGCTTGTTAGTCCTTGTGAAGATTTTAAAAAAGCTTGCGTGGCATTTTATGAATCTGTTGTAACAATTAAATTTTGTTCAAAAATGCTGATATTAGGCTCTTTCTGTGTTTTTTCTTCCTTGGAGCTTATTGAACTTGAGTTTACATGTACTTTCAAAATGTCAGACTGGCTTTCAAAAATGGAAACTTTTGAATTTTTGAAATTGGTTGACCACAAATGGAGATATTCACTTTTTGAAGACAATATTGGTGCCTTTTTATGGACAAAATTGCTGTATGTAATAATATTATTTACTTTATTTAGCCACACTGTCAATGTTTAACTGACCAATAACCGAACGCCGCATGACGTCGCGCATCACTGACACAGCGTGATCAACTATTGCATTGGATTTGCGCAATGCATTTGGAACTGATTGCCCGATTTCATTGATTTTTGGGTCATGTGGGTGGTAATATAACCTGGCGATATCACAACTTATGACGGGTAAATTTCATTTATGTAATCAGTGTAACGTTAGTTTTTAAGTTACAATTTTGTTAAATTGGCCGTTATGTCAACATGGTTGAGGTCCGTATAATTTTGTCTACGGGAGTACGGGGAAAACTCATGTGAAAAGTCATTCGAAGTGGCTATCGTTACGGCAGTCGTTGTTTAGCGCCCTCTACGATACTTTTTTGATACGCACACAGGCATGACAGGTATATAATTATTTGTTTCCACACGTTTTAGCGAGCAGTGCGACAGCTCAGTCGTTAGAGGGTAGGATTTTGCACCGTGAGGTTGCGGGTTCGAATTTCAGTTTTGCACTCAAATTTTTTTCCTTTTCTAACCTGAGGCTTTGGAGGATTTTTTTTAAAAAGGAAATAAAGTCTGAATTTCATAACGTTCAAATTCACTTTTTTCCTTTTAATTTTATATTTTCTTGTCATGTTTTTATAAAAGTTGCAGTCTACCGTAACGATAGAAAATGGGAAATGCGTTACGGCTGCCGTAACAATAGCGACTACGAAAGTCATTTTATTAATAATTATGAATAAACTTATAACACCACAGTGCAAAGAAAAAAAAACACAATTTGTTCATTTCACAGCTTACTTCAAAACAGATTATAGGCCTACAATTTACAAATTACTGTGATCGATTTTAATATTGGGACTGAAACTAAAAAGGGCGCCCCCATTACGTTAGACCGGCCGGCATTTGCCAAAAAATATTCTGCACATCGCAACACATTTTGACCGCTGTAACAACCCTGATAACAATAATGCACATACCCCAACTCTTCCCATTTCTGCCGAGAAACTCCTTCTTCTCCGAATTCCACAGAAATAACCGGAAAGCCGCCCAGTTTGTGGCGACATTTTCCATAAAAGTTGGCTTGTGTTCTTCACCCATGTTGAGAGCTCGGGCAGTAAACGCGAAAGAAAATCTACCGACACACCGCTAATTACATTTAGCATCAGTATGAGACCATGTAAAGATTTCCACTGTAGTCACATTACAAACCACAGAGAAACGTATATGCACGCCTGGGTACAAGACTATTTTTTTACGGCATGTCTGCTGGTACTCGTCTAGTTACCAGTGAAAATACTCCGCGGGCTTCAGAACTCCCGGATGTAGAGTTTGTTGCCTGGCTAGGTGCTAGCACTAGAGGGCGTGTGTCAAATTTGCGGTCAAATTAAAGCCGGACCATCATAGAAAATTAAGAAAATAATATTATCCAAAGCCACCAATCATGCAAATAATTTTGGGCGTGTGTCAAATTTGCGGTCAAATTAAAGCCGGACCATCATAGAAAATTAAGAATACAATATTATCCAAAGCCACCAATCATGCAAATAATTTGATTCACGCAATGCGTGACTTTTGAGGCGTATTTTATGGAAAAGATTATGCTGTAAAATAAGTCGATGGCTGGATGATTGAAGATCTTACAGTGTTATCGAAACTTGCAGAGCGCCACCAAAAATCATCTCGGAGACAAAAATCACTATGCGTAAAAAGCTTGAAATGCATTGAGCGATCTGAACTGTGAAGTCATGATGATTATGGATTCATTCACACTACTGTTTCCTGTTAATACCTCGATACAAGATACACACATTGTATATTCAAATGTAATCCGTACTGACCCGCCTCTTATTGCTTTAACTGCATGAACATCCTTCCTGAATGCATTTCCGTTAAAGGGATCATGTCCACGCTCTTAGAGTTGGTGTCATCAAAATGTCTCTGAATTGTTAAACGTTTCAAAAAGGGCTGTGCCCTTTAATTGTAGATGTGAAACAGGAACTAAGGCAAAGAGCGAGATATACGGTATCAGTGCATAATTTTTTTTCCACAGCTCACTCACTGTTCAATCCTGTAAACTGGAAACATTTCCTCGAACGGACTTAGTCCCGATGTCCATCATGATCAACGAACAGCAGGCCGGTCCGTCCTCCCAACCGGACGGCGAGCCGATCGTCCCGGTGGAACACGACGCGCCCGCTAGTCCCTTCGTACTTCGACGCAGAGCGTTAGGCAACAATATTCGGGAAAACTGGCATGGGTTCCGTCACTTCATGTGGAATATGGAAAAGAGGGAGGTGATGGGACGAAATGGGAAAAGTTGGGGTGAGTATACAAGCCTATAAATTAAATCATAGGGAGCCTTTCTCGAGTAATAGGTCCATGCCGAAAGTACCAAGACAGTTTCCAATAGTTACAAAGTGCAGTGCTACAACTGATGATGTCTTGTCGTGATGTTGATTTTATAAAGACAAAGTAAACCTGAACTTGAACCCAATTCTGTTTTATTTGATGAAAGTACTGCGGTCTTAATTTCCTAAAATCAACTTTACTACTACGATTTCAACTTGAAATTTTCAAGTCGATCTTATCCACATATCAGAAAATTTAAGGACCATAAATATGGACAATCTCACTGGGGCTCATCCCCGTTAGGCCCTGCTACAAAAAAAATGCAATGTCGTATTAAACAGTTAAAACACGGAAAATGACACAAAGGCTTTATGATATTGCATACTGGTATTTAAAACGAGCTCCATAAATATGTAAGGCGTATAACCCCGTTTCTGCATTGTATGTATTATTCCCCAGCGCAAATTGGACTATTCTATCTGTGCTTGTACGTGTTTCTGGCCGGATACTTTGCCGCAATGTTCGCCATATTTTACCAGACAATTTCACAGGAGAGACCGACGTACAACACACTTATCACCCCACCAGGTAGGCTACGTTGAATCCTCGTTCAATCGACGAGACAAATATGTCCATCAACATGCCATTTTTGAAACCTATATATTGGTTCATGTTCTGCATTAGTTAACATCAAATCTAACAATTATATGAGGCATGATGGGGTATTTCCTTGTCCATTTCCATGATGGGGTATGGCTTTTATAGTGATTATAAAGCCAGGGGTGAAGCCAAAGCTGCAAAAGTTTCGCAGCTTCGAAAATGTCGAGGTTTCGAAAATTCCTCAGGTCTTTGGGTGTGCGACTAATAAACTGAACAAAAGCGCCCTCAAGTCCTCACAAGGTTCAAATCGTCCCAAAATAGTCAAGACATATACCTTAATTCATTAAAGGCTAAAAGATGGTCAATTTAATCAATACGGGGCTTTCAGTAACTTTGTGCAATTACGTTCTCTGCTTGGGAGAAAAACTTATCAAAAGCAAAGGAATATTAAAACTAGCTTTGGTCTCTTTTTTCCCCAGGTCTCCACGTTTTCCCTATCCCAACCGGGCAGGGACGCATTGAGTATGGCTTAGACAACAGTGACGTGGATCGAATGAGATTCGAACAAGAAATTAAAGACAATGTGTTTGCACGTATGTGCCATCTTTTTCTTTGTTTGATCATTGTTTTACTGTTTCATCCGTTCGAGCAGAGGGGCGGCGCTGGGACAAACGAGGGGCTATGTTTCACTCTTAATTCGTAAAATCACTAAAAATCAATATTTCAAGCGATAACAACCGAAAAAGCTTTGTTTTTGTACAAACGAATTTGCAGCTTTCCATGATAGTGTACAAACTTATCGTTTCACGTACAGAACTGATAGTGTACATCTTTTGAACATGGCCGATGACACAAATTGGAAGATACTCATCAACGTACTAATCTAGCAACTGTTTTATATATTTTTCAGCACTCCTCGACATTGACCAATCAACGTACGAGAACTGTTACAATCTTCCACCGCTTACGATCAACGACCCACAGCGGTTCTGCCGATACGACGCGTCGCTGCTGGGCGAGTGTGCTCCGGACAACACCGGCTACAACACAACGCAACCATGTCTGTACATGGGGCTAAACAAGGTACCAAACAGTATACATGTCTATGGTGTCAATCGAGGACACTCGTGAAAAACTTCTCGTCTAACCGAGGACACGTACCAAAATTAGTGAGGACAGTCCTCGATTGAGAAACGTGCACAAAACTGCTGAAAGCTAAGCTTAGGTGCAAACAATAGCACATGCATTGGGTGATGTTGTTCACCGCAATCGGTGATTTTGTTTATGCTTGATGTTATATATTGACAGCCATTTTCATCGCTGCCAGGTTATTCGTGCATATAGCTCATAGAACTGGACATACTTTTGTGTTACCTTAGAAAAAAATGCAATTATATGACGAAGGCGTAAATGTCATTCCAGGTATGGGGCTGGATACCAGAAGGTTTTACGTCTGACGTGTTGATGACGCAGTTCAACAAATCGGCGTCATTCACCAATCGGATCTTCTTCACCTGTGACGTGGTAAGAAAAAAAAATACATCAGACAAGATTAGAAGGTTTACATGGTGATGGTAGCAATAGGATAAAGATAGCACCATGTGACAAATCTCTTAAATTTAATCATCTTTTTGCATTTGATTTTCCTGGACCGGGTTGAGCAGTGAGAAAGTTGCAGCATGTTCTTTTTTATAACCAGGACATAATTTACTGTTAACTGTTGAAGTAGTTTTTCTAGAAATCTCAATTTGTTATTCTTCCAAGTACATGAAGTATCCTTTGTGAGTTTGTGATGTTCTGAGAAGAACCATGGGGACACTCAACGTTTCGGACAGTATGCTCTGCCCTTCGTCAGGATCAGGCAACTGAAGGGATTCCAACGGCGCTCGGACAATAAGTGGCAAAGACGTACGAAAACATCGATCGCACCCCCCCTCCCTCTATAAATATTACCAATGTATACGTACACATAACCAAATCTAGCAAAGGGAGCTCAAAAAATACAAATTCAACAGCGCCCTCTTGGATGGGACAGCGGGACTGCGCGAAATAATTTATACCGATAGGGCGCCCTCTATCGTATCCTATGATTAGCGGGCACAGTCAGAACATTGAATTCAGCATGGATTTTGTACAAGAATTTTTTTTGGGGGGGGGTGGGGGTTTATGGCGGGGTGGGGGGGGGGGAGTTACGCCGGGTTGAGGAGGAGGCACATTCCTAATGCTATTTGTGGGGGTCAAATTAACCCAAAGGAAACTGACTCAGTTCATTTTCAGTCAGGGTTAGATTGAACATAAAGAAATTGACTGACAGGGAGATGAACCTGCGACCTACCAAACAGCTTACCTTACTTATTCATGGCGTGCTATTCAGAAGCCATGAATTCGCATGAGCTGATGTGGTCGCGAGTCCAGCCCAATACGGACATTGGTTATTGTTTGGTCATAATAATTTTCGGTTTTTCTTTTCAAAGCATGAGGGTCACCAACAATACGTCAATACTCTGACCATGTTCCCGGCTGACGGGGTTTCCTTCGGTCACTACCCCTACGTGGTCGGCACGGACCAGGCCCAGCAGGCTCGCTACCTCCGTCCCGTGGTAGCCCTAAAAGTGGACATCAACACACGGGATCAGGAAGTGAGGATTGAGTGCCGGGCCCGGGCTAGTAACATACCGGACGAGGCACCGGGTGGGCTCTTCAATAGCAGGGAGGAACCGTCTCGGTTCACGGTCAGGGTTATGGTCCGCTCGTAGGCTAAAGGCGCTGGGTTCGGGAGTGTCGAGTAGGGCACAGGGAAATGAAGCTCTAACTGTCTCTAAAAGATCCAAACATTTTGCCTCCATTTTAAGTCCCCATTTATAACAGTACGAGGTGTATACTCTGTAAACACTCTAGTCAGATTTAACGTGATATTTTAAAATTGCATAAAACTAATGTAGTCTACACTCCATATACCTAGACGAGTAAACATTATTTCGTGACCCAACTCATTAAAATGCAATTGAGCTACTTTTCAGTAGAAATTAAGCCTTTAAAGGCTGAACAGTGCACCCTCTTGTGGGAAAGTTTAGAAGCCGCCGTTCCCACTGCTTATAGAGCAGCGCTGACAGGTTTAACAGTACTGCAAATTAAACAGTACTGAAAATGCAGTCTATAAGAGAATTTAATCTTTGAACTTTTTAAAATAAAAGCAAAAAGTGTATTTTTCTATTCCAAACTTGCTTCCTGTACTATGACATGAATGAACGGTTTGTATGTAAAAATTGCTCAGGATTTAAGAAATACATGTACTTTTTATATGGACTTTGATACTATAGTTGAGCCCTTTCTCCATTGTAGAGCAATGATGCTTTAAAGATATTTTTTATACCATTTTATACTAATTCTTTTTAACACCTTAATAATAAATCTTTCAGTGCAGTTAAGAGAATGTCGTTCATAGTGATCTATAATGTGTGGAATCCGAAAAGCTAATAAAGAGTAAAAAGAAAAGTTGAAGACAGCAAGAATTCCTTCCTTAGCAACAACCTGACGTCACTCCCAATGTGTTGACCACATCACTAAGAGGCGTTGCCATGTTGGTATAATCCCCAAATAACAGACGTCTTCCTGACAAGTTGAGGCTGCCAATGGAATGTTTGATATTCGTTTCCAAGCTGCTGTATTTTTTCCCCGCGCGTATTTGCACCCAGCGCGCGGCGCGGCAGGGCACCCCGTAAATTGCTCCGAGATACCGGGTACGGTTTCCGGTCGTCACCCAGGGGAGACCGGTATCTCCGGGTAAAATTCCTGGGAAACACTTTCATTGGGACATCAAATTTCGGGTGGAGGGTTTTTCGTTCTCAGAAATAGAGGTTGAATGGCCAGCATCATGTTTTAAACTAATACAGCATTTTCTAGAAAAAAATGCAGCACATAATAAACACCGAGAAAGTACAATCGGTCATCTAAAATCTGTAACAAATTTTTTCCGATGAATTATGCTTTTCCATTCAAGTTCGAATCCTCAGAGGCCTTATTACACACATGGATTGTCTCCATTTTTTCAACACTCAAACGCTAAAGGCACACAATGTTTGATGTAAGTTTCAGTTGGAAATTGACATATAGGCCTACACAAACCCAGTGTTCTTTAAAACGTTGACTAAGATATGTCGTAATACTTCTTCAGATTATTTTGACATCTTAAGTCTTCATCTTAAGAATTCTGTATTTTCATATATTTTCCAGAATTAAATGTATGCATCCCACCCATTCGCATAATAGTCTTTGCACCATTCTTTTTAAATTTTCTCGGAGCTGTCAGTGTCTTTATCAATCAGCTTCAACTTAATCAAAAATGCAATTCCCAGATGATTTTTTTCTCAAAGACTGACCATCTCGCCTTATTTACCCCCTGGCTAATTGTCGTCCATCACCACCCTACCATTGACCAACGAGTTTGCAATACTTAGGTAACAACATCGACCTCGAGATGCTGTCCTCACCTCGGTATAAGAGTTGCATGTCAGGCCATCTTGGGAGACAAGACACGACCGGTATGTGGGAGAAACTTGAGGGGACACGGAGGCAAGACGAGGGGCGAGGATGGGATGTGGAAGATGAGGCAGAAGGGATGTATTTCTTGTAATGACAAATTTTCTTATGGTAACCTGACAAATTGTGGTTCGTACAACCAATGATTGGGTCCACCATAACTGGTGACGCCAAAATGGGTTCATTACATTTTGTTCCCCAAGACCTATAGTCCCCAACGCTACCCAAACCATAGCCTTGGTCAATGCTCTCGTCGTTATTCGTCCCGTACGCGGTCAATCGTCGGCATATATCCTCGGCCTCACGCGCTATGCACATGCATGTAAAAATACAGCGCGAACAGCGACCTCACGCGGCCACTATATTTATGCAAATCAGTTGGAGACGATGTCGAGCCTTGGTTCAATCGTCGGCCAAGTTTCCACGCAACGATCGACCAATAAGAAAACGACATTTAAGGTCAGCTAAGGCTATTAACATAATGAGCACCACCCCCAAAACCTCACATGGACGATTGAACCAAGGTTCGACATCGTCTCCAACTGATTTGCATAAAAATAGTGGCCGCGTGAGGTCGCTGTTCGCGCTGTATTTTTACATGCATGTGCATAGCGCGTGAGGATATATATGCCGACGATTGACCGCGTACGGGACGAATAACGACGAGAGCATTGACCAAGGCTACCCAAACCATTACTCTAACCCTAAGGATGTTGCGGGCAACATAGGTATCGGGTAGACCCCCGCCAAACTGATGCACTACACGGCACATGGTTGTGCACAGAGCACTTTTCTGTCAAACGAAACATCAAAATAAAAACTACATGCAATGAAGAACAATAAAAAAAGGATGAACATAATGTAATGGAGACGTTCGTAGCAACAATACTACTACGTGATGTAAATGCAGTATTTAATGTTCCGTGAAGAATGCATAAAAAGAGTGGCTGGCATTGTGTAATGTGTCCCAATTTACTTAAGGATATAATCCGTCAACCAACCTTCCGTGTAATTTGATAGCTAATTGCTCTTGTTTGCTGTTATGATTAGACAGAAAGCGGACCGAAGCCAAAAGTACGGGTACAGGGATTTTCTTAATTAATAGGAATCTCAACACAACCGTAAAGGGACAAGATGAATCATTTAAAAATCTGCCTTTGACGACCCGTGTACTAAACTGTCGAATCTAATCTCATGTATCCATTCATATTCCGCTTTGTGTTTCAGAGATAAACCTACTTATGGAATGATCAATTCGGAAATACCGTAATGTCTGGAGTTTTATGGTAGCACTCTAAACCGAGGCAAGATTAAGTGCAACCCGGCTAAAATTAATACTCGTCTTATTTGATTGAGTAAAAGCGTCAATCACATAACAGTGCAGATAACAGTTGATAATAAATGACCCAATTTGACCATATAAAATCCATCAGCCTTATTACATTTGCCAACGATTCAATACTGTTGTACTGCGCCAACGAATTCCGTATAATTAATCACCACCAACAAAGAGCAATTACTTAATGTGCATTGTGGTATTCACTGCTTAGAAGCCTAATGATGTATTTATTATAATTGCTCGGACAATGCCGGCGCCATTTTGTCACAGTTGATTGAACGCAATTGATCATTGGTGCTTTCTGCATACATAAATTCGAAAGTCATTTTTTTTCTGGGCCTTTTGTCATTGCCGCCTGACTGGTTTTATCCACGCATGCTTATTAAATAAATTCAATTACTATTTCCATATGGTGTTTTTGAATAGAGATAGACGACACCAGAACGTTGTCTGATCTGTTTTTGTGTGTGTATAAAATGTCCGGCGGTATACACAAGCACAGGGACATTATTTCAGTCATTGCCTTTTCATTGAATGTTTTAAAGTGTTTACTGTATGTTTATATATTCAATTTTCTGAATTGTAGGTATTTGAATTTTTATGTGCAAACCGAGAAGTAGAATTTCATGCTGGCATGATGAATAGATAAATCGAAATTGAAATTGAAATTTGAAATCAAGAGCCAGTGATTATTTGATTTTTGTGCCTAATAGAAGAAGATGTGTACTCAAAATATGGGTGACAGCCGAGTATATATTGAAACCAACCGTAAGGAAGGCGAATTTCCCGAAAAGAAAAATACAAAGTGATGAAACTTATCCATTTATATCAAATAGTTTGATGGGTAAGGTGTTGCACAAGCCAAACAAATGACCGTTATCCATCCACGAGTATAATTAGTCACAAACCACGGCCGCAAATGAGGCGCGAATTCCCTAGTTTGGTCGATGAACCGTTGGCGCCGTAATAAAGGTTTGCAGTTAAAAATCTTCTGTTTAATCACTTCCAATCCCATACCTGGTTTCAAAGTTCAAATATAGGCTATATCCTTTGTCTGTACAACGTGAGTGCTAATGGAATAGATTCTGCTTTGTGACGAATTCTTTGCACCCCCCCCCCCTTTAAAAAAAGCCCCCTAAAGTCAATGCGCAAATTGAATGCAAAAAATACTTTGGTGAGCTCATATAGAATCCTTTACTGCCTCAGTTGACCTCCGAGAAATAGCGCCCCCATGTGGAAGGAAGTGCCATGGACATTGTTCACAGAGAAAACGTGCACTGCAAAATATCCATTTTGAATTCCCAAAAAAGGTTGTACAACTCAGACGAGTGAAATAAGTTTTTGTGTCAAATTCATTACATGCCCCTTTAAGTTGTTTTTTTTTTGTAGTCTGGTATCTATGTCACGTACACGTTTCTCCCCTGGGAAACGGAACAGCCTGGAGCACCTGTCCATTTTAAAACCGATGACAGACTAGGAATGTTATGCGTGCTGACTGAGTGACGCATCACTGCGCCGCACATAGCGGACCCCGCACCATCCCTGCTCCAGCCAAAATCAGCAACTAGACTTGTTTCAAGTGTATGATCTGACACGAACCGAATTCCCCTATATTACTAGTATTGGATATTGTACCAGACTGATTGATAAAGTATATACAATAAATTCTACCCGGTTTTGTCCGAAGCCCATGACGCTTCATTCCGATTCCCTAGGTTGATCGAAGATCAAATTGAAATCGGCCGGTATGCCAAAGCGGGAGTAATAATACACGCCTTGAACGGAGACTATTAATGAGCATCACGCCTGTGAGGGAGAGAGAACACACATAGCTTCGGATGAGTGCTCTGGGTGACAAACTGCACATCGCTGATGTAGACTGCTCATTCGCTGATGAAGTGTCAGCATGTGAACCATGCATTAACTCCACTGTAGAACAACGGCGCACTATAATGCCACAGCTCAACACGTTTTTGGGTAGGCACTGACTGCCATCCTACCAGCACATCTGACTAGACCTAAATACTCCACAATTTTACCATATGTTGAATCTGCGATACCAGAAATAGCATATATCGCTGCCGGTATGGTGGAAGTTTCTCTGGGTACTGTATCATCGTACCGACACGGTGACGCTTCCCTCTACCGTTGAAATCGCCGTCTGGCCCGGGGCGAGACGCGCGTGTGGCTGATATCACCAAACACTCCCAGGACCTTGGAGCCGTTGTTTTAGGCAATCAAGTCGGAATATTTCAGGTAATCAGATAAACCGGGAGCTGCAACAATCATCATTTCTGTTTGGATTTCATAAAGTCTCCAGCGCGGACCAATAAACTGAACCTCAAAGCGAGAAGTTCTCACGTTGCAGCGAGTCAGCGAAGCTTAGCAACTCCGCCTATCGGACGGGAATGTATTCGTTTATGTTACGCTCCACGCTCGCTGACTAAGATAACACGATACGACAATCCGAAACGGCTCCGTTCTGTCAGACAAATTTCGCTTGGGATGTGTCTGACATTTCAAAATTACTTAACTTAGACATTTCACGGTGCCATCTCTAATGCTTAGCAACTTGTTTTCCGGAAGATAAACTCAAGTTGAAGTTGAACATTTTAACCCTTCGCTTCTTCCCCCTTCGGGTATGTGATGGAAGTTCTCTTTATAGAACTGCACTGACGTACGAAGTGCGAGTTCCTCAACTATACCTGCATGTGGCACTTGCGTCTACAGAGCGTTACGTGCACAGAGAGCCGACGAACTTCGGACAAAAATGTCTTAACTTGAGAACTTTTCTTCATACCTTCATTGTCATAGTTTACGCCGACCATGCACGACCCAGATTAATTGTTTTACATTCGGTTATTTCATCGATGAACTTTATTGCGGGAGATCAGTGGTGTATTGACGTAATATTTTTATCAAATGATTTCTGAATGTCTGCTGAAGTGCTGATAAGAATTGAGAGGCAGCAGAACTAATCTCTTAACTTGAGAGAAATCTCGCGAGAGAACGGACTCAACTTTGATTCATTTGCCGAGATGGAGAGAGGCTTTATTGTGATCTTTATTTTGTCTCTCAGCGCGACCCACGGGGCGATTGAGACTGATGCCACACCAATACAGGTACGTACACGAATAAGACAATGGAGGCTTTGGGCTTATGTACAAAACCAAATTATTATGAAATACCTGACTTGATTGTAAGTAAATAATAGTCTCAAGCATCCTGGGAAATCATGGCACCTGGTGTGCTGTCATTTAAAGAAAAGTAAAATTTTTGTATCGATTTGGAAAAATCTGACAAAGTTGGAAAAAACCCGTTCCCCCCTCCAAATGCAGCCTCAAAAATACCAAAGTTACTTAGTCCACATTTTGTTTGTATCGGTTACACATTCGTGAACGGATGCAAGCGTCTGGCTCCCTGACCAGACAGTTCCCCGGCCGTATTACTCCGTTTCATCTAAAGTATAGGGTCAGGGTAACCAAACTACAAGAACAGCAATTTTGTTCATGGTTTTGCCAGCATCTTACCCCAAAATCTATCATTTCTGAAAATTACAGCACCTATGACCACAAAACTTGAAACAGGTCATTGTAACAATATTGGCTATAAAATACTAACCCCATATCCATCCATTTTTGAATATTAAAGCAAAAGTCAATGTTTTATATTACCTTAACACCCAATGAACTCCACGATCGTTCACTTGTTTTCGTGGCTATCATTTTCGATGCCATATGGAATACATTATTAGACGAATCATTTGATATACGAGGTCTTTTCGTAATAACTGAACTCGTCACGTCATGACAGACCGAATTACTGTCAGCGTCAGAATTCTTTGAATTGGTCATGACATCAGGTGTTTTCGAATCGAGCTTCTTCGTTTGGGAAAGCTATATACGAATTAGTCATTCTTTGGCTAACGATACTGGGCCGATTTGTCAGCATAACTTTGGCAACTAATGTACCGTGTAAATACCATTAATTTTCATGAATTCTTAATTTATCGCCGTTATATATACCTGCACATTTACGACATGTTGCGTAATCTGATATAAGTATGCCATTTGTAATAGCCTTAGAAATAATGAATAAGACATGGTCTTTAGGTACAACTGGTGCAAAATATAGTTTAGACTTATGCAATTTCCCTGAGTCTTAATTCTATTGGCCAATACAAGCGGGATACCAAAGACCTAAATTCAAAAAAATGGAGCTTACTTTGTATTTTTGGATCAGGGCGTGTCTGAGACATTTTAACGCTGTCGCTGACGGTTCCCAAACTTTACAGCTGTAGAATTCACAATGGTGTATTATCACCAACCATCAACGGCTTGAATCAAGACTGACTAAGAAGGATAAAGAAGTTTCCGATCTCTGATCTATTATAGCTTTAAGATATTTTATTACTTAGCATAGCCACACAAAGTTGAGACAATTTTTGGTTAGTTTTCTACTGAAAGATTGTCGCTTGTCAGACCCCTTGCTCGTTAAGATTTAAGTAAAGGGACAGGGGCACGTGTTGGTTCCTCAGCGTGCAAACTTATGAAACACCGCGCCGGCTACCAGGCAGTTCACGGAGATATACTCCGTTCTGTACAGTAAACGTGGTATCAATCGCGATCAATGGATGAAGCCACAATGTCTAGATGTTTATGTATAATTATAGATATGACAAGTCTGAACGCGTACGTGCCATTTAATTGAACTCATATGCTAAACTCTCCATCAAAACTTGCCCGAGTTCTCGACGGAACAGGTGCAGCGCGCACCTTAACTATTTGTTTCGGTGACACGGCTCATAAATGTCAACTAGGCCTATATACCAGAAGAAAGATGAAGACTAAAATCAGAAACCGAACTACCTTTTTGTTCCCACAACCTGAAACGCGACACGCTAAATGCTACTGGTTGAATTAAAAGTGAAGAGCCAAGAATTCCCCGCAGGTCAAACCGGGACAGATAAACGGAACATCTGTTCTGGTCCCGACCTTGGTTATTATTTATTATCGAAGATGATACATTATCTTGGTGACTCTCAAGCAAAGAGGAGACAACCTTGATCTAGCAAGAGTGGCTTATAGTTCTCGATGAGGATTAAGAGTTTAGCCTCTAGGCATTTGCGGGATCGAGAAGAACGGTTTACAAGATTACATCTTGCAATCGAATGAACCCATCATCTGCATCATCACTTCAAAAAAAAACCCCGATAAGTCAGAGTCAGCATCTTAACAACTTTCTCAAGGAGTTCTCGCTTTGCGACTGTGCAAGTTAATGCTGTATGGATCAAAAACGTTGGTATACGTCCTCTGTAATAATTTACATCTTATTTAAAATGCGTCATTGACCTGTTCAACGTTTAAAATAATACCATGTGCGTCCATTGTCAGTCTGCATTAGCTGTCCGAGTCATTTATATCATTTTCATAATCTATCATTTTCAGTTAGTCAACTGTCATTGTGGTAAGATTTTTTTTTTTTTTTTTTAATAAACTCTAACCCTATTCTTTTTTTTCTTCAAATTATCAACTCTCCTTGTGGTAACTAAAAATGGTTTAAACTCTGACCATGAACGATTCACATTCCTTGTATCAATTAGCCTTAAGCAATTGCTTTATTGCAAATTGTGTCCTCGCAATAGAAAGGCCTTTTGATTTTCTAAGAAAATCGATACAATATTAATTTAGTACACAGTGTTGTCGAGGTCGTTTGTAATTAGCAATACTGACTATATTGAGGTCAGGTATGAGTGCTTTCACGTGTGTCCTCCTTCGTGTATCGTGTGAGCAATCAGTTGGAATTATTGGCAGGAAACCAAAGCTTTTTAATTTTTTTATGTGAGTTTTTGCAAAGATGATGTGTCCATATCACGATGCGTGCGGCGTGTATATGGTTTATTCCAGGGACATTCTGATAATTAAAATCGTGTCTAGATTTTTTTTTTTAAATCCCCATAATGGATTCGTCAGCTACAATGAACCACTCTGATGTGGCTGTAGGGAATTGTTTTTCAGCAATAATTAATTCCTCAAACTCATAGTCACGAAGAAGGATTGGGTTCATGGGCGACGCCAGGACTTTTTGTACTTTCTCTAGCATATTCTCAGTTCATTTTTTTTCCGAGGGCGGGGGACATTTACCCAGCCCACCCCCATTGACACCCCTGCAGGCGCACATTTTGTTAAAATGTATATTGAAATTATAGCAAATATGGCTTCACACATCTTTTTTTTTCTTTGTCTTTTTTTCCCCTTCCTTTACTTCCTCCCCCGCTTTTCGGGGAGGAGGGGGAGGAGGGGGGAAGCGCCCACCCCCTTGCTTCATCATACGCCCACGGTTGGGTACGCGAGTGTGATAGTCAGTTGAAACGAAATATTCGTCAGGTTTATAATAATAATTGGTCTCCGTTCCCCCATTTGTCATCTCTGAAGGACATGACAAGATTTAGTTTTGATCAGGTATCTGTTTATGGCGGTTTATAACGCGCAGCTCTTCGGTCTACCCTGAGTGGATATGCAAGGTCCAGTGCTAATAACCCCATTAGGCTTAAGGACGCTCGTCAAGGTACCAGACACGGTTGCCTAGTTATATACTTATTACATTCAAGATGGTTATTGGTTCATCTTAAAGTTGGCATATAGGCCTAGGCCCTACGTGCTTTTTCAAAATTTCGATTTTGTTTTTCCGTACGAAATTTAAAGGAATATAATGTCTTTAAAGTTGTTTCTCGTATACTGGTTGAAAAATGAGTCAGATCACGTGATTCTTGTCTGATTTATGCTTATTGCGCATGTCTAATGGGCGAGCACCTATTTTACACAGAGACACCAACTGTGTGTGATAGATTACTTTAATTAGATGAGCGGCACGGCCCTCGCTAGGCCGAAGACAGCCGGAATTCCTTTGAGGAATCTCAAGGAGGATCTGTAATGGACTGCTGGTGAGATTATAACTCATCGACAAGTAATGATTCCTTGAATTGTGTTGACATTAGAAAACGAGTAGTTGGTAGCGAATTGTTCCAGTTCGATGGTGTCAGTGAGTCTTATCTACCCATGGCCAATATTAGGCGCAATATTGACTTTTGTTCAGCCATGTTCTTTTTTTCCAGATACGTTGATTCGCAATGGTGGCTGTCTTTGAAAAAAGTTCAATTGTAAAAGTTACAGGGTTTGACATTTTGATCCCACCAGAATCTTTCTTAACGATAAACTTATACAATCTTAACTCACAGAGAGTTCAGAAACTGGAAGTTGCTGTTAATAATGCATTAGCAGCTAGAGTTAAATTAGCAGAGTTACCCCAAAATGTGATACTTCTGTCTAGTACGTATTTTAAAAACACTGAGGGTACTTTAATTTGCATTTTTTTTTACAAAAACCGTTGTCAATAACGGTAAAACTTTTCTTTGTCGCAAAACAAAATGGCGTCCACAAATGAAGGTATAAACTGTGTGGGTCCCGTGACCCGTAACCCTACGTAAACAGCAGGAAAAAGAGTGCGAATGCATTTCTCAGAAAATTAAAAAAAAGTCATGTATAACGACAGTCATTCAGAAACGTTTGTGATGTGACCAATGTTTGTTTAGGCTCGGATGCGGTATGTAATTGTAAATTCTTATAATATATTCGATTTAGAAATGTTAGTGAAGGTATCTTGGCGTATCGCCAGTAGCATGTAGACTACGTCAACGCCACTAATCCATTTGGCTTATCCAATTTCATTCAATCATTCTAGTGAGAGATAGTTCTTATAATTAATGCCTGGGCAGACGACCCATCACAATCTTTATCATTATCATCCAGCGGCCAATATTGCCAGCGTACCTTTAAAAGCACCCAGCTGTTGCGCTGATGATACGAAAGGTTGACGCAATGTTGGGCGCCATTTCTGATACCACACGCACTATTCGCCGTGACGATGCTATCAGCCGTCATACCAATGCATCAGCGCGGAGGATGGAAATCATTTTGATCATCCCTCGAGATCTTTCCAAGTGCATTTAACTTCGAGAGAAGTCGGCAGCGCAGTTGCAAGTACTTTTCCACCTGTTTTCCCCTCCTATGTGATGGGGCAAACAAGTACGGCGCGCCCGTTTTGGCTCGGTGTACAGTTTCAG